CGGCGCCAAAATTTTGGGAGTGGATTCCCCGGCCAAGTGCCACCACAGGACCGCGGTACCAGCCCTCAAGCACGTGTAGGCCCCGCGTACGAGCGCCTCAGAATTGTGGCGGGAAAATCGCTAACTCGGTAATCAAGAAAGCTGGAGGCTGAAACTTTCAGGAAATCATCTACAACTTAAATTTATCAAGTTCAGCCCCCATTATGAGTGATTGCCACGTACGGCCCCGTGAAAATCTGTGGCGGGAAAATGGCTAACTCTGGAATCAGAAAGCTGGGAGGCTGAAACTTTCAGGAAATGTTTCCAACTCATTTACAACTTCAATTTATGAAATTCAGCCCCCCAATATGCGTGGTTGCCCGTGAAATTTTCTGGCTAGAATTTGGGTAACTCGGGAACTGAGAAAGTTGGGAACCTGGGATTTCAAGGGAATGGTCCCTGTCCAAGTATGGCGTGGATAATTAGCTTCCCGAAATTCGAGGACCAGTATGTACAAGAGGTTTCTAGCTAGCGGAATTTCGAGTGGTTTTATTGCAGCACGAAATACTGCAAAAACGCGTGATCGCACGGGCCCGCCCAGTGCGCGTCGCCAGTGATTGTTTATATGCAAATTGCAAAAACGCATATTGCAACGACCCTGTCTGTGTGTTTATGTTTGTGTGTGTGTGTGTGTTCGTCTATCCGGGTATTTCAACTCGGCAACTAAGCAAGCTCCGGCGCTAAAATTTTGCAGGTAGTTTCCCCGCCAAGTGTCACCCCAGGGCCGCGATAGCAGTTCTCACGCACTTCTGGGTCTCGCGTGCGGGCGCGTGAAGATTTTGGCGGGAAAATTGCTAACTCGCTAACGGGAATTCTAGGAACTTGAAATTTTGAGTCTATTTTCCTCTTCCAAATAGAACTCAAAAATTTCGAATTCAGGTCCTATGTATGCGTAGTTCCCGCGTACGGTCCCGTGAGTTTCCTGACGGGAAGATCGTTAACTTGGGAACCAGGAAAGCTAGAAGGCTGAAATTTTTAGGGGGTGTTCTCAGCTCATTTACTACTTAAATCTATCAAGTTCACGTACGGCCCCGTGAAAGCTTTTGGCGGGAAAATAGCTAACTCAAGAGCAGAAAAGCTGGGATGCCGAAATTTTAAGGGAATGTTCTCCGCCCTTGCGCAACGTGAAGCTATCAAATTCAGCCACCAGGCTTGATAGTTTTCACGAACGGCCCGGTAAAATTTTTGCAGGAAAGAATGGCTAACTTGGAAACCAGAAAAGCTGGGAGGCTGAAATTTTAAGGGGGTTCGAGCCTGCGTACAATCTAAACACTTCAAATTCAACCCCCAGGTATGCCCCGGGTCACGTCCGCCCCGTGAAAATTTTGGCGGGAAAACTGCTAACTAGGGAACCAGAAAAGCTGGAAATCTGACATTTTAGGAAAATATCCCCCGTTTAAATACAACATAAAGGTTTCAGATTCAACCTCCAGGTACGCATGGTTCTCGTGTACGGGCACTTAAA